CCTGGCATGGACACCCGGTCAGGACAGGCATTGTGAGTGCCATCTACCTGTTGTAGGTAGCTTCTGCTGGCTTGGGGCATCCATGTTGTGTTAATTCTGTGAGATATTTTTTTTTGCACGAGGGTGGCACCTGCAGAGGGGCCAACCTGTGTCAGCATTCCCTGCAGACTGTTCAGGCAGGATCAGGCTATGCCCCCCCACACGGTGTTTCTGCTGTGCTGAGTGTGCCTTCCACTGGGGGTTCAGCGGCTGTGCAGCTCATCTGGGTGGCCTGAACATTTCTGAGGCAGACATGCCTCTCTTGATCACAGAGCCCGGCTGGTGGAAAGTATTAAAGAGACTGCCCCGTTCCCTCTTCTTGCCAAACCCACTGTCTTCTGGAAATGAAGCGTGAAGGTTCTACCCTCCTTCTGGTTTGGAACAAAGAAGTTTTGTGTCCTTCCGGACCCGCAATATCTTAATTCCTGGAATATAAAGAATTTTCAGAGACTGTTTTTGGTCAGTTGTCATTTTCAAAAGCAGAGTAAGATCGTATGGTTTAAAATAGCTACACGTGGGGAAAGAGTAGCCACTGCAGCATCCCAAGTTTACAGGCATGTCCCTTCGGGTTTGACCCAATTCCACATCTCACTGGTGGAAGTCATGACAGGCTTTTTTTCTGTACCGGGTTTTCTGACATTTTAGGCTTATTTTTCTTTAGTTCACACAGTCTTGACATGTAAACAGGCTTGTAAATACCTCAATGTTTCCTTTAGCTACAGTCAATCTTAATACTTTTAAAAATGATCATCTTGGTGAGAAGGGGTTACCTACAGGAAACTACCTAGATTCCAGCCCACATCCTGTCCCTATTACACACCGATAAGCAAGCAGCCTCTAGGGGGCAGCAGAGCTCCAAGTAAGACCTGTGCCCCTGCAGGTGTCCTCAGGCTCACTGCCCCCTCCTCCTAGGTGTCCCTCTGGCAGCACCCAGCCTCCCCTCTGCTTAGAGAACTTCTTCCTGATTCCTCAGCAAAGCAGGACACTCTGTGGTCCAGCTCCTGCACTCCACTGGTCTTTCCCCTTCCTGATGTACCTGGCACCATGGCACCTAGCCTTACAGCAGGACCTGCTATTGTCTCACAGCCAGGCATGCCCATGTCATGACAAGAACACCTTAGGTCTTTGTGTCTTATAATGCCTGGGATGCCTAGGAGACTTAATAAGTAAATGCTGGAAGCAGAAGGAGCATTCCCTGTGTGTACATGCTCATGTGTGTACAAGATTATCTGTGCATGCATGTGCAGGTGTGTGTGTGTGTGTGTGTGTGTGTGTGTCTGCAAATGTGTGTACAATACAGAGGATTGCCTTGGATGTTGTTGCTCAGGTGCCAGACACATTTTTGTTGTTGGTTGCTTTTGAGGCATGATCTCCCTTTTCCCAGGAGGGTTACCTATTAGTCCAGGGGGTTACCTATTAGTCCAGGAGTTACCTATTAGTCCAGGAGGTTACCTATTAGTCCAGGAGGTTACCTCTTAGTCCAGGAGGTTACCTATTAGTCCAGGAGCTTACCTATTAGTGCAGGAATTACCTATTAGTGCAGGAGCTACCTATTAGTCCAGGAGCTTACCTATTAGTCCAGGAGCTTACCTATTAGTCCAGGAGCTTACCTATTAGTCCAGGAGTTACCTATTAGTCCAGGAGCTTACCTATTAGTCCAGGAGGTTACCTATTAGTCCAGGAGCTTACCTATTAGTCCAGGAGCTTACCTA